TGATTGAAGAATGACTGACAAACCAAGCAATGAAGATTTCGGATAGAACTGGAAATTGGAAGGATTGTAAAATTAGATATTTCATCTTTCAGAAGTTTCAGAAAAACTTTTCAATGTTGATTTTCTAATCTCCATAAGCTATTAATTTACTCTAAGTTTTTTGCAAAGATCCAGAGCGGGTGTATATGTTTCTCACTTTCTCAGAATAGCAGGTGACTAGATTCTCAACTCAAGAATTCTGGGTTTCAAACTAAACTCCTCAGGAAATTATCGGCAAATTGTCGTGCAAACTTACCAGCTTGCCGCTCTCAAGCGGCAATTTTTCGATCAATTTTTTCAACTTACATTGCCCATGTGGAACTTCAAAGAAAACCATAATAACCAGCATGAAAGGTGGCACCAAACAAATGGAAGCTGTCACAAATTGCACCACCAAACTATGCATTGCCTCCCTATGCTTCTGATAGTAGGAGGTACTTCTTCTGATTTTCAAATCCACCATTAAATTAAAAATATCTACTATGAACATAACGAATATCAAAAACAATCCGATCCCAGAAAAAATCATTGTGATCAATAAGTTATTCAAGTTATCAGATTTGATATACAACACGAAATGAGATAAGGTTCGGAATCCGGGGAGTAGTTCTGGATAGGTACGGGAGATATAAATCCATTGTTCGTCTTGACTGATATGAAAGTATTCAATGAATCCGCAGAGTCCAATTGGGGAGGATAAGCATAGAAAATAACAGAAATATTGGATAAGCTTGGGTACTTTATGGGTGTTGAGGACTACTGCAATCGCTTGATGCATTTTTGCAAAACAGATTATTAAAGTTTCCAACTGAACCACAGCAATAAATCCAGTGAGCATCTGGAAACCCCGTCTTCGGTTTTGATGGAGTTTCAAGAACCGGACAAAACTTACAGCACAATTATGAGCAGAAACATTGAGATATCTTGGAAAAATTCCTACAGTATACCCAGCAAACAGCGGAGTTAACGGAATAGGTTGCATCAGAATAGTCAGATGAATATCGGTTAATAAACTTAGAATCTAAAAAACTCATTCCTTTATCGAGAAAAAGTAATAATCAGCATACCTGAAAAGAAGTGGGATCCCCGGGTACCGA